TACGGCTGAAAGGGCGAACATGTTTGGTGTGACGGGGATTCGAACCCGCGACCCGCAGATTGCGTGTCGAGCGCCCTAACCACCTGGCCATGCCAGCCCCCCCCCCAAAAAAGTAACGACAGATTGTGTATAAACATATATATTTTATATTCTTAAAACAAGTACACATTAGTATGAGCTAAATGAGGTTTTTACTGAAATGACTGGTATTATAAAACTGGTCTGGTGGATTTTTCTGGTTGAAATATAATCTAAGTTCAGTAACTTTATTTTACTCGTGTTTGGTGGATTTTTCTAGTTAAAATATAATATAAGATCAAGGAACTGTATTTTGTTAACAGTTATTTGTACAATACACGATTTAAAAAATAGTTTAATTCACAAACTTGCATCGATTGAATGTAATTTTACTGAATCAACTAAGAGAAGGTTAAGTATGTAAACGTAAATTTACCTGGAAAATAAAACACTCCAGTGTGTTATAGAAAACGAATATCCAGAAAGATCTACATCCACTTGGACTGTACGTTGTTAATACAGGGGATTTAATATCTCTGTATCTCTGTTCACTTTTAAAGGTACCTTTGGATTCCTAAGCACACTTTCCACCATTTAGACCTGTCACTCGTAAAATTTATCTTTGTTAAGAACTTTGTTTCATCTTGTCAGGTTCAGCCTAAGAGATAAACCTATGATTCTAGCACGTGACAGCGCAAGCCGGAGTTGCCAGGTTAATTCCCCATCTAGGGCCTAAATACAAAAGGTAAACCACTGATACTAGCACGTGACGGTACACAGCAGAGGTACCAAGCACTAGCAGGAGAGTAGATGATAGAGCGTGTCGATTCTAATCAATATCTTCCCTTGAGACACTAGCAACCTGTACTTCGCTGTGATTGGTCAGTAAAGATCATTTAAATCTTCGTAAGGAGGAGCTTCCAACAAAACTATAAGAAAGGCTTAACCGAAAGGGATTGTAACATAGATTTATTTACTCAAGGTTTATTTGCTTTACACTATGAGTTTTATTTCGTATCACTAAAGGTTTCATTTTCTATTTCTGCTTCGACCATTACACGATTTTTATAATGAATGTTTGTCTATTATTCTTTCCAAAATATCATTTTCAAATATTTTCTTGATTTTCCTATTTTCCCTCTGCGTGCTTTTATTATTTTCCAGTTTTCATACGCCCACTTTACCTCTTGCTCTTGTCTTCCTGTTTATTCTCTCTCTATATCCAATATCCTTAATATCTCATATCTCCATAACTCACTTCCATTTTCTTATCTTGCTTCTCATTTTTTTACCATTATTACTTCTCCAATTTCTCATTTCTTCTTCATATTTATTTCTTATCTTTCTTCCTTCCATTCTTCTTCTACTTCTAACTTTTAATTTTCTTACTTTTTTGGTTTTCAAAACTTTACTCTTATCCTTTATATCGTTTCGTAAAGTAATTATTTCTTGAAATATATTTCGTTTCCTCCTATTTTCGGTTTATTTACAAACTCACTGATCTTTGTCTAACACAAGTCTTCTCTCTCGTCGTATCCAAACCAGATCTGTTCCAGGATAACATTATTCAGTTTATTGAGATAAGATTATGGCTAGAAGACAGGTTGATCAAGGTAAAACTAGGGCTAGAGGCAGGTTGATTTAAATTATTATTCATTTTGTCAAGATAAGATAAGGGCTAGAAGGCAAGTTGAATTAGATTATTATTCAGTTTATCAAAATAAAATTAGGGCTAGAAGGCAAGTTGATTTAGATTATTATTCATTTTATCAAGATAAGATTAGGGCTAGAAGGCAGGTTGATTTAGATTACTATTCAATTTATCAAGATAAGATTATGGCTAGAAGGCAAGTTGATTTAGATTATTATTCAGTTTATCAAGATAAGATTAGGGCTAGAAGGCAAGTTGAATTAGATTATTATTCAGTTTATCAAAATAAAATTAGGGCTAGAAGGCAAGTTGATTTAGATTATTATTCAGTTTATCAAGATAAGATTAGGGCTAGAAGGCAAGTTGATTTAGATTATTATTCAGTTTATCAAGATAAGATTAGGGCTAGAAGGCAGTTTGATTTAGATTATTATTCAGTTTATCAAGATAAGATTAAGGCTAGAGGGTACGTTGATAAAGATTATTATTCAGGTTAGCAAGATAAGATTAAGGCTAGAGGGTAAGCTGGTTTGGATTACCATTCAGTTTATTAATCGTTTCCGTAGATTATTGATTTTTTTGTCTTCTGCATAAAAGTGTTACAACTTTTTTAACGTAACTACAAAATTTTCCATAAACAATAAAATACAATGTTAAGTATTAATGACCAACTTAGATGGAGTGTCGCTTCTTGAGAAGATTTCTGAGGTTAGAGCGAAGGAAAGGCTTAGGCACCAAAGTTAGAAATGATTGATAAGTTCAGAAAAATTCATATCTTCTCTCTCAGTAAAAAAATAAAATAAAATAATAATAATAATAAACCTTGACGGGGATTTAGTTGTTAAAGGAAAGAAACTTTCCCAAACTGGAGTGTACAGGAACAATGATATACTACTTCGCCCCACTAGCAATAAATTATTTGCTAAGTTCGTGAATTTGATAACTTTTGGAAGATTGATCATATGTTTCACTATGGTGGATATGAAGACTGTGGAAATGTCATAACTTTTGAAAGATTGATCATATGTTTCACTATGGTGGATATGAAGACTAGAGAAATGTCATAACTTTGAAAGATTGATCATATGTTTCACTATGGCGGATATGAAGACTAGAGAAATGTCATAACTTTTGGAAGATTGATCATATGTTTCACTATGGCGGATATGAAGACTGGAGAAATGTCATAACTTTTGGAAGATTGATCATATGTTTCACTATGGTGAATATGAAGACTGGAGAAATGTCATAACTTTTGGAAGATTGATCATATGTTTCATTAAGGTGGATATGAAGACTTGAGAAATGTCATAACTTTTGGAAGATTGATCATATGTTTCACTATGGTGGATATGAAGACTGGAGAAATTTCATAACTTTTGGAAGATTGATCATATGTTTCACTATGGTTTATATGAAGACTGGAGAAATGTCATAACTTTTGGAAGATTGATCATATATTTCACTATGGCGGATATGAAAACTGGAGGAATGTCTGGAGGAACAGAAGGCAGAAAGAGGAAGAAACTATGTGACAAACATTGGACAAATCACATCGTAACAGTCACCTGGAGGTATACACATAACTGTTTTTCTTTCACCATTTTAAGCACCTCACTGTGTGTACAAAAGTTTCTTCTTCTGTAACGTTTGGGTTTTTCTCCCATGTTTCAGAATTACTTGATTTGTTTAATAAAATATCATTGATTTAATCCACCAAGCTCTGCATCTTCTTCTTCTCGTCCTATCATGCCTAATTTACCAAACCGTGTATCCTCTCGTCCTATCATACCCGGCCCGGCATGGCCAGGTGGTTAGGACGCTTGACTCGCAATCTGAGGGTCGCGGGTTCGAATCACCGTCCCACCAAACATGCTCGCCCTTTCAACCGTGGGGCGTTATCATGTGACGGTGAATCCCACTATTCGTTGGTAAAAGAGTAGCCCAAGAGTTGGCGGTGGGGGGTGATGACTAGCTGCCTTTCCTCTAGTCTTTCGCTGCTAAATTAGGGACGGCTAGCGCAGATAGCCCTCGTGTACCTTTGCGTGAAATTTAAAACAAACAATCATACCTAATTTACCAAACCGTGTATCCTCTCGTCCTCTTATACCTAATTTGCCAAACCGTGCATCCTCTCGTCCTAACATACCTAGTTTGCCAAAACGTCTATCCTCTCGTCCTAACCTATTTAATTTGCCAAACCATGTATCTTCTTTGTCTTTTACGGTATTTTATCCCCCAAAATCTGCATACCACAAGCGTTGCCCCCCCCTCAGTGGCATAGCGGAAAGTGTACAGACTTATATTGCTAGAAACCGAGTTTCGATACTCGTGGTGAACACAGTACAGATAGCTCATTGTGTAGGTTTGTGAATGATTACAAACAAACAAACACCTGGTGCCTCCTTCCTTTAAAAATTTACAAACCATCATTTGTTCTTTCTCTCTCTCTCTCTCCGTTACTCAACTGTTTACTGTATAGTTTTTCTATTTTCAGTTTTCTTTAGCGTCTTCATTTTATAATTTTTTTACGTTCCATCAGTTTCAGCACAAGGATAAGTGACTTTAATATTAATACAGTGACAAAAATTTGTATAGAATCAAATAGATTCTACCTTTTTGAAATTTTTAAAATGTTAAATAAGAAAGTGAGATATCGGACATTCCTTTGTTCGTGTAGAGCAACTGGTGAGAAATCCAAATATTTGTTAATGGTTTAAAAGATTCTGTTTCATTTTAACGCCTATTGGACATCCAAACCTTATAATATTTCTCCTTGTATCTTATGAGGATTAGGCCTTATCTCGGCAAAATGCAAGCTTCACAAAGAGTGGTTGCTGGAAACATCGCGCGATAATTTTTATAACTATGGTGATATTATTCTGCTTATTACTTCATCACCTGCACATTCTTTCATTTTTTTATTAAAAAAAACTTGTGAAAATTTCTGACGCGGTCCATACACATCACAAAGGTAACTTGCTGCTGTAGACTATCATTTCACACTGTAATACCAAATGTTAAATATTTGTTCTCCTATTTACCATCAATGTTTTCTTAAAAGAAATGAAAAATAAGTTTTATAATAAAAACCAATAAAGAGTTTCATGCTTGATCGGGCTGTTGTTTTTCGCTCTAGTGTATGTGTGTGTATGTGTCAACATTGTAATTCGAAGAGTTTTCATTCGATCTTGATTAAATTTGCAGCAAAGTTGTCTCGTAAGTTTGGTGAATGAAAGTCAAAGGTCAAAGCAACACTAGGGGTCAACCACTAGTAGCAAATTGGGAGTTTGAAGAACGGTCTAACATCGAGATCAAACCACAAAACCAAGGGTTTTTAGAGTGAAAAAATATTTAGGGTTGGTTACTGAAAGAGTTATAAACATTACTCTCTCCACATGTATTATGTATTAATAGCATAGGAATTTAAGGCAGACTGTTTTACGTTATTAGATAAATAATTTACATGGGTGACATTTAGATAGCTAAGTGATTATATAAATGTTATGTTTTGAAAACGACAAGATAAGATTACAAGCACCGGGCAAATTTTGTAGTTAATCACAAAGTTACACAATGGATTGTATGTACTCTGCTCACAGCAGGTATCGAAACCATATTGTTAGTCCATTCCGCTTTATCTATTAAATTTAACCCTTCCAACAATACTCAACTTCTTACCATTCCAATTTATCTATTAAAGTTTAACCATTCCAACAGTACTCAACTTCCTACTATAACTAAGAAGTTGAGTATTGTTGGAACGGTTAAACTCTAATAAAGTGGAATGGTAAGAAGTTGAATCTTGTTCGAACGGTTAAACTTTAATAAATAAAGTGGAATGGTAAAAAGTTGAGTATTGTTGGAAGGGTTAAACTTTAATTGATAAAGTGGAATGGTAAAAAGTTGAGTACTGTTGGAAAGGTTAAACTTTAATAGATAAAGTGGAATGGTAAGAAGCTGAGTATTGTTGGAAGGGTTAAACTTTAATAGATAAAATGAATGGTAAGAAGTTGAGTATTGTTGAAAGGGTTAAACTTTAATAGATAAAATGAATGGTAAAAAGTTGAGTATTGTTCGAACCGTTAAACTTTAATAGATAAAGTGGAATGGTAAGAAGTTGAGTATTGT